AGCTATCAAGATTCAAGTGATGAGGTGGATGAAGACGATGATGAACAAGAAGAAGAGATGGTCAAGCTCTTGAAGGAACTCAAGAGATTCATAATTTCCAAGGAAGTGAAACATGAATCAACCAAGAAGAAAAGTCCCCTGGTATGTTTCGATTGTCAAAGAAAGGGGCATGTCAAGTATGAATGTCCTCTTCTAAAGAAAAAGGGGAAGAAGACATTTATTGCATCTTGGAGCGATGAAGATGATTCCAATGATGAAGATGAAGTAGTCAACCTATGCCTCATGTCCACTCAAGAATAATTCGAGGTATCTTCTAACTCAAATGAATTTAATTCATTTACTTTTGATGAGTTACAAGATGATTATAATAGGTTGTATTTGGGATTTGAGACCATGAATTCCAAATATACAAAATTAATTTCAAAAATCAAAATTGAAAATAAATCGATTTTGAAAGCTAGAGTTGATTTTGAAAATCAAAATGAAATTTTGAAAAATGATTTAGAGCTTTTAAAAATCAAAATAAATGATTTAGAAAAGAAAAATTTTGAGTTAGAAGTTAAGCTTGAAAACTTAACAAAAGAAAAAGAATTAATTTATAAAAACAACCTATTATGTTTAAAAATGGCAAAATGCTCACATTGACATTATCATGGTCATTTGGAACATACTTGTCCTTTGAAGAAAGGAAAACGTTTTAAAATTAGGCAAGTATGGGTTCCGAAAGAAACAAGGGGCATTGTAACTAACGTTCAAGGATCCAAAGCAATTTGGATACCAAAATCTACTTAAATGTCTCTTGTAGGTGTGTGGAAGCAATTGTGATGAAAATGATGATATTCAAGATGCTCTAGCCACACATGAAAAGGAATGGGTAACCTCTAACCTTAATGTTTTAATTTTAGTTATTTGGTTGCTCATTTGATTTTAAGCATGCATGAGTTTTGTTTTTAAATAATTATACATTATTGTTTTAATCTCATGTATGTTAAAAAGGTTTTATGATGAACATTTTAAAGTTTTATGTTTTTTAGTTCATCATAAGGAATTTTGGTCAAAATTGGTTTTAATGCAAATGATATCTCTCTAACAATTGATATCAACTTTTCAAATGTTTTGATTTTATAAATTTTAAAATTTTTGACCTAAATTTAAATGTTTATGCATGTGGTTTAAATGAAAATGATATCTCTCTAACAATTGATATCAAAATTTTCAAATGCATAACATTTTTGGAAAACTTTATGCATATGCACTTAATTTCAATAATTGATATTGCATAAAGTATTTTAGACTTGGATGTATTGAATTTCATGTGCTACTAACATGTTTGTTATTCTTTGTTGAAATTCAATTTTGTTTAAGTGTCAAAAATCCTAAAAGCATAATTTTATTTGGAATGCATTTATTGAGGGGGAACTTTGATTTTTCAAATGATTTTTAAAATGTCAAATTTACTACTTACTCTCCAAAGTTATTTTGAACTTCAAAGATTAGAGTCTTTTTGATTTAACAAAAAAAGAGAGAAGTGTTAAGGTGTTAAAGGGGAGAAGTGTTAAAGTAAGGGGGAGTAATTTCAAACTTGATTTCAAAATCTTAAAATTACTCAAATGTTTTGTTATATCAAAAATGAGGAGATTGTTGAAAACATTTTGATATTTCGATATAACAAATTAAGATAAATGAATTTTAAGATTTTCTAAAAGATTTTCTAAGTATATTCGATATAATTATTCGAATATCAAAATATTACTCCAAATCTTTCAAATGTCATTTTTAATCCTTACTCAAGTGTAAAATTAAGTTTTAATCTTAAAATAATTTCAAAACAATTTTACAAAGTATTTCGAACCATTTCAAAGCCAAATATTTCAAAATGTCCAGAGGGAACCGATTCCCCCCAAGGGGGTACCGATTCCCCCTAAATGGTTTGGCTCCGAGAAAAACAGAATGCTCGGAGGGAACCGATTCCCCCCCAGGGGATACCGAATCCCCCTTGATCAACGATCGAAATATTTGAAATTTTACACTTAGGGAATCGATTCCCTATGAGGGGGTACCGATTCCCCCACGCTCCAAGTTGTTTTATTAATTAATTCTCATCCCCAAACGGCTCCAAAACATCCACAACAGTTATATACGACTTCAAACACATTCCAAGCTATAAATACAAGCTAAGGACACTTGAAGAAGAAAGAGAACAACCATCCAAGCAATCAAACACAAGAGAAGAGTTTTTCATTCTTATTTCATCTTTCTCTTGTAAATATTTTGTTCTTGTGAGCTTAATTCTTGTAAACACCTACCTTAGAGAGATTTTCTTGTTCACATTTCTTATCCTTTTGTAAAGGGGAAAGGTTTTAGCTAATCCCGTGTAAAAGCTAGGGAAAGGTTCTAGTTTAGCCCGGAAAAACTAGGGAGTTTGTAAGGTTACTCTTTATCCTCAAAAGAAAGAACAAATTAGTGAATTTGTTGGAAAATACTTGGTGAGGAGCTAAGGTAGTGGACGTAGACTTTGGTTGAAAACGTCGAACCATTATAAATCGCTGTGCAATTCTCTATCTTTCAATCCCCTTACTCCCTAAACACAAAACCGTTCCGACCCCTCTTTGCAAACCGTTCCGGTTGTCGATTCGAGCTTCCGAAAATCCAAACAAAATATTATTATTTTATTAAAAAATATGAGTAAGAGTTCGTTTGTTTCATTGAAAACATTTTTTGGAAAATGTTTTCCGTAAAATGAATTACATTTTCTGAAAAATGTTTTACAATGTTTGTAAGAGGTTGTTTAATCTATTTTTCACTAGTTGATGATTTTTTTTAAAAAAAATATTTATTACAAATATTAAATACAATAAAAATATTATTTATCATAAAAAATTAATATTATTATTTTTAAATATTAGATTAATTAATTTATTTATTATTAAAATATTATTTCTATAATTTTATTAATAAAAATATTAAGATTAGTATATTTTATTAAAATAAAAATATTATAACTTATATTAATTATTTATTAAAGTAATAGTATCATGTTTAACTATATTTCGATATAACAATTAAGACGAAATGTTTTTGGACTTGAATTGAATTTATTCAAAGTTTTTCAAAGTTTTAAAAAATAATTCAATATCCTTAAAGCTTGGAATTGAGGACAAAATAATTTTTTGGACAAGCAGTATCGATATTGTTCTTACAGTATCGATACCTCTTGAACAGTACCGATATTGTTCGTATGGTACTAATACCAAAGGTAAAGGAAGTATTAGTACTCACTAGGTAGTATTGATACTACCAACAATGCTCAAGTTCCAAAATGCAAAAATGACACCGATACCCAAAGGGGTACCGATACTACTCTGTATAGTAGTATCGATACCATAGGCATAATATCGATACCATCATACCCCAACGACTAGTTGATTTAAAAATAACAAAGGTAGTACTGATACACCCTTTAGGAGTATCGATAGCCTCTTTTCTGGGCAGATTTATTTTGCACAAAAATTAATCCCCAATAGCTCCAAAACACTCCTAACGGCTAGAAACGGCCACAAACAACATTTCAACATATAAATACAAGTTGAGGACACTTGAAAAAGGGTTAGAACACCTATTCAAGCAATCAAACACAAGAGAAGAGTTTTTCATTCTTATTTTCATTTCTCTTGTAAATATTGTGTTTTGTGTGAGCTTAATTCTTTGTAAACACCCTACCTTTGAGATGTTTATTTGTTTACTTCTTTTATCCTTTTGTAAAAGATGTTTGGTTCTATCTTAGTCAAGTGAAAAGATAGGGAGTTGTAAAGGTTACTCTTGATCTTTAAAAAAGAAATAACAAATTAGTGAATTTGTTAGAAAATTTTTAATGAGGAGCTAAGGTAGTAGAAGTAGATTTGGTTGATAAGTCGAACCACTATAAATCATTGTGTCAAATTTCTCTATCTTTTACTCTCCTTACTCCCTAAATAAATTTTTATCAATTCACCCCCTTTGCACATTTTTTGGTTGTTTGATTTGAGCCTCTTCGATCCTAACATATTATATTATATTTTAAAAAGAATTAATTAATATATTTTAAATATATTTATTAAAATATTATTAGATTATTATACTAATATTAAATACATAAATAATATTACTCATTATTAATAATTTAATAATATTATTCTATGAAATTAATAAATAATATAAATTTTATGAATAATTTATTATGTATTATTAAAATAAAAATATAATATCTTATATTATTATAATATAATTGAGTATTTTATTATAATATAAAATAAAAAATATATAATTTTATATTATTAGAGATATTAATAAATAAATTTTAAATATTCTATTAAAATAAAATATATATAATTTTTTATTATTAGAAATATTACTAAATATATTTTAAACATTTTTATAATTAATATTTTGATTAAGATGATATTAAAATATTTTATTAATATTAAATTCATAAAATAAAATTATTTTGAGCATTTATTCTTTTAAGTGAAAAGTTTGAAAAATAACTTACAAAAATCAGACCTTACGTCATTTTTCAGAAAATACAAAAGAAATTCTATTGACAAAAAAAAATGTTTTACGTTAATTAACATGTTTTTATTCAATAAAACATTGAAAAATGAAAAAATAATTTTCAAAAAATATTTACGTTAAACAAATACACTCTAAGTCTAAATTATTATTATTATTATCTAAAAAAAGTTTTTTTTCCTCTTCCTTCGATATTATATTTTTTATGATTATTTTATTTATTTTTCCTTGAAACCAAATGTACCTACCCAAAACATGACCGTTCTCTTGAGAACTCTTAACAAAGAAATCCTCTAAAACCTTCCATTTCTGCCCAAAAGCTCAAAAATGGCGTCCCTTCAAAGTCCACACAACTCAAGCCTTCTTCAATGGCGCCCTTTCCCTTGTATTAAATCCCCAAAACCAACTTTCAATAACAACCCATCTTTCCAATCCCTTTCAAAAACCCGACAATGGCTTCATCATCATCATCATCTTCTACTTCTCACACAATTTCCCCAGAAGAACTCAAGTTGTTCCACACTATAGACCGAGCCATCTTCTGCAGGCTTGTTCTGAACCTTCAACGCGAACCGTTCGAGTCCATGCACGTCATGGCTCTACTCCTTTGGCTCGAACGCTCTGTCGCCTGTGGAGAGAACTTGGTTTACACCATCCAGACATGGCCCGACACATTCGTCGATGCATTGGCCATCGAAAGTGTTCAATGCTTGAATTGTATAAACAGCGATGAATTCCCTTTCGGACATTTCGAAAACGATTACTGCATCGTCCCTTTGATTCGAATGTTGACTAACGACGACATCTCGCTTCGCTTCTTTCACGAGAATCGTGTGGAGATTGTTCATGGGGTCGTTAACCTGGTTCATGATGTTTGTTATAGAGCCTTTGATGATATAATGAAACAAGCACTGTATGGTGCAACGATTATGCCGATATTGCCAAGTTTAAGGCCAAACTTTCATGGATTTGATCCTGAAGATGTTAGCAGCTTTAGGGCTCAAAAGAAGTGTATGGACAATGAAATGGAGGATCTATGGAACCGTATACATAGCGTTCGCATTAGCAGCTCGGAAGAGAAGAAGAAGGGTGATGATAATAATAAGGAAGAAGTTGAAGCAGACGATAGAACCATTTTCTTGACATTCTCAAAAGGATACTCGGTTTCAGAGGATGAAGTGAGAAACTTCTTCACCAGGTATTGATACTTAATTTCCCCCCCCCCCCTTAATTTTGAAATTATCAGATGTTGACTGACTGGCTTGTTTTGGACAGGAGGTTTGGGGAAGTATTCGAGGGAATAGAGATGCAAGAAGTGGAAAAAGGGGAGCAGCCTCTATATGCAAAGCTGGTACTGGAAACAGGTACCACGCTTGAGATGATTCTGAATGGTAAGCCCAAAGCCAAGTTCTCTATCAATGGAAAACATGTTTGGGCTCGAAAGTTTGTTCGTAAGACCCACAAGTCCCCTCCCAAGCGACACATCACATCTGTATAACAATATTTTAGTTTGAAATATTTGTAATGTATACTATTGTTGTTTAAGTGAGTAACTGATAATAATAATTTGTCTTAAATTAAAGGATTTGCACCAAAACGCTATTTCTTTTATGGTCATAGTCTGAAAGAAGAGTACTAAATTATTGCAAAAATTTTATTATATCAATAAATTATTTCATTAGTCATACAAGAGTTAAAGTAGAAGAAAAGTTATTAATACTAAACCCAGGTTAATAGTTCGAAAAATGGATTAAAATATCATGTTACACAACAATTATTTAACAAAAAATAAACTCCAAGAGTTAATCCCATCTTATAAAGTACCCCAAAAAAACTCAACATATATATGAAGGGCCAAATTTGGATGAACCCATATAATTTACAACAAACTAAATGGTCCTCTCTGTGGTCAGCAAAAGCCAACTTCTTTGCATTTGACTAATGAATCTTTTATGAACTGCAACGAGTACCAATTTGAAAAAAAATACTAACTTCTAACCAAGGGTCATAGCGACCGCTTAATGAGGTCATAAAGAGAGATAACAATTTCGGCACTTATCAACACAATGATGAGCCACTCCAGGAAATCTGATTTCCTATTTTGAAGAATTTCTTGAAGAAACCTAATGTTGTGCTGCAAAAGCAGTAACGCGTTAGAACTTAGAAGGCAAGTAATGTACAATATCCAGGAAAAGCCGAATACTTGTTAGAACTTATATATATGGGAAATTTGCACATCTGTGCTTCATATTGCCTTCTCCTGTAAAGAGGGCATTTCTAAGAGAGCAAATACCATACCTCAACGAACTTAAGCTTGAAATCAAGACTTGCAAATCTTTGAGTTAATTCAAATTCATCTCGTAGAAATTCCCAAATTATAGCGTATTTGGCATCCTTCCAGGCGATATCTGATCTGTTAAAACCCCGGGGGTGGGGGGGGGGGGTAAAAAAGCATGAGCTAAATTGCAAACACTCCAAAAATAGACATTCCTATTCGTATTTTTTATGCCATAATGAGATAAATTCAAAAACAGATGATATCAAATTAATTTGGAAGGAGTAGCCTCAAACAAAGCTCTATGAGGAATCGATTACATTCTCTGTACCGTAATGGGTAAAAAGTTACCTCTCAAAAAGTCCGAGCTTAAGAATCACATCAGCAAGATTAGAGTTTGCCTTTCCCACTATCTGAAAAAGTTTTTTGCTGTCCATGGTAAATGTTCCTGTTTTTTCCATCCCACGATTTATGTCGGTAAATTCCGCAACCATCCCATCAACCTAAGGAAAAAGTTTTGACTATCAGTATAAAGCAAAATGTTTAGAAAGCCGACATTGGCAATCAAATAATACACACCTGGCGCACATAGTAATCAAGAGCAATACTTTGACCAAGAACACTTCCAATGGTACGGATTCCATCAATATTCAAGAACTGCAACATGATGTAATCCAATCCACCTTGCATCCATGTGTTCAGAGTAGGCATCTCTCTTACCTCATACTCTGCAAGTTCATAACACATTGAACTCAAAGAGCAATAAAACGATCAAACAAAAACTCCTTGATTGCAGTACCTTCCACATTTCTTTGTTCCTTATGAAAGCAATGGATCTAATCTCTAATAATTAATCCATATATGTTTAGAAAAAAGGTCTAGTCAGAAAAAAGAAACTGAATGATAAAAACACGCCATCAAATGAATGAGTTATTAAGAAGAAATCCATTGAAAATGACAGCAAAATACGAGATTGATACCCAAATCATCTCAATTCCCATCAAAACCCATTTAACATGCCAGTAACTCATGTGCATGTGTTGAAAGATGTATATGAGAAACCACAATGTATCTTGTGAATCAAGCATGGGACATGCATAAGCAGGAGAGAAAGAAACTGGCAAGAAATCCAGTTTACAATATATATCAATATATGTTATGTATTATTTTGATAAACAAGAATTTTATGAACTCACCATCCTTTCTCATTTCAGGAAGCAATCCAGATGCATGCTTTTCAACAATTTTCAGATACTGATCCACATCACATTCATGAACATTGAACATCACGATGGAACCATACTGGAATACCACCATGAAACAGCAGTCACTTCCACTTATGAAAACACCAGGACCCTGAAACAAGGAAGTTGACAATTCAAAGAAATACTTTACTAGATTTCCTCATACATGACAATCTAGAAAAAAACATACATATGAAAAGAGTCTAGAGAATACTAAAATGCATGATTTGAATGATAGAGCTATTGTTTTCTAGAAAAAATAGTCAAGAGTTTGGAAATGCCTCGTACTATGATGGTCAAATCTCACATCTATTCAGAATTTTCATGCCAATTAAAATCTATCCAGAAACATTTTAACAGAGAACAGTTTATAGTATGCAAACCAGATATTGTATATGTTCCTCCAGCTGAAATTTGTTAACTTAATCTGTAAATGGAACTCAGAAGGCTTAGAGATATATGCCACTTAACCCAATTCCCGAGAGACAGAGAGAGAGAAGGAGAGAGAGAGAGAGAGAGAGCAAATTAGCTGCACAGAGATAAATGACACTGACAAATCTCAATTAAATCTGGTTTACAGCAAGAGCCCCCTCATTTTTACTGTTTAAACTAATGCATGCATTAATAATTAAGAAGTTCCTTATTCTTCAATTTTTTTCAATATTCCATAGGTAGGAGGAATGGTATTAATAAGTTCTAGGTTGTTAACACTGACTAAAAACTTTTTTATTTTACTCACAAAATCCCCAAATACGTTATCCTTATAAGAAAGAGAGAAAGCTTTTCATCAGCTTCCAGCATAGTGAAGACAACGACGTCCTAATCCAACCTGAACACCTAATACATAAATAGTGAAACTCCTTTAAATAAAAAGACAGCCACAACATTACATAGAAAAACCAAGCATATCCCTACATTGTTTTAAAGAATCCGCCGTAACAACCAGTTTTTAAATTCAACAGTTCAAACTCAAGAAGCATAATCTCATTTCCAAGGTTCATTGTTGGTTGGTTCATAGGCAGTTTCCACTTACCTCCAATTTAAACCCCCTATATTTTCCTAATTAGCTTCTTTTTCCGCCAGATAATAACAGTTATGTGGATGAAATAAATAAATAATACATAAGAAATAAAGTGCCATCCGTGATTAGAAATATTAAAAAAAACTATCGTCATAAAACATGGTTGTAATTGATTAGAGTAATTGTTCTTAGCTCTCAACAGCAAAATAGATTTGTCAAAATCGACTTACAGGGGAACTAGCAAGATCACCAAACTTAAGAACTACATAATTAGTCATTCGTGATGTCGGCGGTATAAAATTCTGCTTGTTCTGCTCCACCAGTCCTCTCAAATCCACACTACACTCAGAAAAGAAAATTCATTTAATTAAAGCGTATAATAGGGTTTAAGCATCACAATTCGGAAGTTCTGATATTTTTCCCAAAATACAACGCCCAAAAATGAAAGCTTTTGGGGAGAAATCGATTCTAATGATGTCCCACTAAAAACCAATCGTAAATTGAGTAAAAAAATAACAATAACCTGGTGGAGAAAAAATAAGCTCGAACTGGAATAGAGCGTTTAGTGCCTTCTTCCACCGCTCCATCGCCGCCTCCATCGCCGACTTCCGAGCAAGAAACCGCTTCGCTCCAATCAACCACCATTTCCGGTTGCGGAGTCGGGAACGATGAAATGTATCTTGAAGCGATAATTCGACTGGCGTTGCTGAAGCCGATGCAGCCGCCGCCGCCGCCGTTGAAGGACCATAAGATGATGGTGGAGGGTGATGACGTGGCGGCTGACCGTAGGGTTTTAGAGGGGGCGAAGAAGAAAGAGGTAGCTCGGGGTTTAGGGAGAGGGGAAGAGAGAGATGGGAAGGAAGAGTAAGGAAGCGTTTGGGTACTGGTTGTACGAACGGAGAAAGAAGGGAGTTGGCGAATTGAGCGCCACATTTCTTTTTTCCTTTAGACGAACCGGTAGTTCCAAATTCTGGTTTTGCCATTTTATCATGCGATCATCACTTTATAAACCTTTTTTTTTTCATTTTTAGTATATTATTTCTATTAAATCCAATAAAACTAAAAAAAGTTAACGTTGTTTATTTTTTATTGTCAACGATAATATTTATTTTTATTTTTAAAATTTGAAGTTAATTTATTTATTTTTTTAATATGATCCTCTTAATAATTGAACTATATTTCATTTTTTTACATGAATTAGATAAAAATAAACACCAATTATTCAGTTTTTTAATTGACTTTTCTAATTATTTTAATGATATTATTTTATTGAATGAATAAACTAGATTTTTTTTTAAAAAAATTGTGCATGAATATATATCCTTATAATCTTATACTGTAAATCAAATATAAATTAGTCAAAACGAAATTGCAATCAACGCCTAGTCTATGTCTTATTAGAAACCTCGAATTACAGGTGAGCAAAATTTGACTCAATTTGAAAACTTGACTTTTTCATTTTGAGTCGAATTTTGATAAGGGGTTTGCGTCTGAAACAAATGAATAAGTTAATTTCCGTGGATGTCATCACATACATTCTTGAGTTCCATTTGTCTTCACCTTCAATAAATTCAGTGGAAATTATGTACAAATTTTAGGGTTCATAGGGAAAGCTTTTGGGGAAGAAGAGGGAGATGAGTTAACAAGAGTTAAGTGTCACATCAAAAATAATTAACATGAGGTAATAGCAGAACCTTATTAAAAATTAACTAAAAGTTTGATAATTGTATTTTAAGTTTCAAAAGTTAGGTGATCAAAATTCAAGAAATCTAAACGTTTGGGACTATTTATATATTTTACCCTTAATTTTATAATCCTGTCCGCGAACCTCAAACTTCGTGAATCATGTAGATTTGGTAGTCCAAACTCCTAACCATAATCACCACCCGGGCTCCATCATCTCTCCATGTATCCCGGCGCATTGTTGCTCCCTTTTAAGCCCTAGGTTCAATTTGGCCTTCCCCATCTTTCCCATAAAAAGCTCCTTCCTTTTACTAGATCTGCGTTGCTTTTCCACAAGCGTTTATCTCCCCCTTCTTAACAAACGACAAAGGAAACTTTAACGGGTCGGATTCCGGGCCTTCCGACATTCTTGTGGATATGGAATCGAGGCCTTTGATGCAAGATCAACTAACACTCCAGCCTAGATTAGCTTATTCAAATAATTCTTCTAAAATTTTAACTTTGCCCACTGTTTTAACACTCGGCCGCGTCGCCGCAGTGCCGGTGCTGATTTTCAGTTCAGTTTCTTTTTCTTGAATTTCATAAATAGCGCATTGTTTTAGCTGAATTTTTGTGATTTGCGATTTTAGATTTTTTTTCTTCTTAATCACTTGCTCGTTGAATTTAATTTGAAATTTCTAGTATTGATGATGATGATTTGACAATGGCATTTCAAGCTTTGAGGCAATGCACTCTCCTGATTTGTTGTTTCCTCCATTTTTAGACCTTCAATTTTTCTATCTGTTTAGCTTGGTTAAAAAATTAAGCCATCCGAGGTTTTTCATTTGTTTTCTTACGAGTTAATTGTATGTTTAGATCATATGTTTAAGACATAACATGCTTAACCATTATGTGTATGCTTATGTCAGCTGGTTTGTTTGCTATTTTCATGTCTTGGCTCATTATTTATGTGTATGTCGGGTATTTTGTCAGTAATTTTGATGTCCCTTGGAGTCGACCTCTGATAATACTGATGAATTTTGGCAATTATAGCTTAATTTTGTGTTTGATGACTCTGCTCATTTGAATTATGACAACCAATGACGATAGGTTGCAATGTGGTATGCCTTAGATGGTGTAAAGAAATCTATGGATTATTATTAGTTGTATGATCAGTGTACTTCTGAATTCTTTGTGGCAATTGTTAAATGTATTGCCGATGCGAAAACTTCGTATGCATTGAGACTAACAAAAATGGTTTTCATTTTTCTTTTAGCCTTTTCTGTCGATAGTTGGTGGGGAAGGACTGCTACGACTAGTATATTTTTGGCTGCTGCTATAACTGATTGGCTTGATGGGTACATTGCTCGAAAAGTATGCCTTCTGCCACCCTCCTTTTCAAATTTCTATGGAAACCTTTCTTTTTCCTCTCATTTTATAAGAGTGTAGTTATTCTATACAATTTAACTGAGTAAAATCTTTATCATTTCTTTCAGATGAAGTTATGTTCTGCCTTTGGTGCCCTTTTGGATCCAGTCGCTGACAAGGTGAGTAGTTTTTAATTTCCTTTTTATTTTCCGAATATTCAAGTTATTTAATAGATAGAGTTTAATGGCCGAAGTCATTGTATTGACTTGTCTGAAGCTGTGAGCATTTCTTCTGATCCCATGCCTGTTTAATGTAGCTTATGGTTGCTGCTACACTAGTTTTACTATGTTCAAAACCTTTGAATGTTGCGGTGTTTGGGCAAGCGCCATGGTTACTGAATGTACCGTCAATAGCCATTATAGGAAGGGAGGTAATATATACCATAGCTGATGATGTTCTGTACATGTATGAATTAGTTATAAATATTTTACAAATTGTTGCTATTTTGTTTGTAGATAACTATGTCTGCTGTTAGGGAATGGGCTTCTTCTCAGAATAGTAAGATTTCAGAGGTATGTTTCTCTCTCGGATGTCAAACTACTTTCTATTTTACTAATATCTTGAAGTAGGAAATGCTTGAGTTTTGCCTGTAGCTTATTTATTGAGTTTGATTCGAGAATTAGGCTGTTGCCGTAAATAAGCTGGGGAAGTGGAAAACTGCCACACAGATGGTTGCACTAACCATACTTCTGGCTACACGAGATAACAGGTTTATTAAATTTCTTCCTTCACTGTCATGAAAATAATAAATGCCAAACAACCCTGGTTGCAGTATCCTGCTGTTTACTATTTTCTGCTTCTCTCCCTCTTTATGCAGCTCCAGAGAAAGTGGGATCTTAGTTGCTTCTGGTGTTATTTTTCTTTATCTTTCAGCTGGGATCTCGGTGATTTCACTAGCCGTGTATTTGGAGAAGATGGGGAAAGTATTACTTAAGTAGTTATCTTTACCTGCTGGGTTGTAGCGGCTTGCATTTTTTGTTGCCGACTGTTTGTGGCTGATCTCTCTAGCGGAATACTTTTCACACATTGATGATGATGCCATCTTTATTTCCTTTCAAAAGTCCCGCCTTTTGAAGTTCACAAATATTGGAATTTCCTTTCAGATTAGGCTGTTTGGTGAGGGTAGTATCCATATATTCATGGGCTTATGTCTTAAATTTCATGGAGGATGATCATTGCTTTAAGCAAGTCGACTCCCAACATTTAACACATTTTACTCTGTAATTTGCAACTGCAACATGAAATTGAGGAACTCTTACTAAGCTATTCTATTGTAAATGTTAATTGCTAGTCAAGTGGCTGCTCACAGTTATACACAAGTGATAAGTAATCAAAGCATGCTATGTATAATGCAATTTCTTGCTCTTTTATAACTTATTCATTTCTGAACTCAGTTTTATGATGATGAATAGATTATGGGATTGATGTTAGAGACTTTTCAAAGTTGTTGAATATTCTTCAATCATATGTTACTTAGATTTGGTCGTGGAGATCTGAGGCATGTATGTTTAACATTTTCCCAAGCTTTTCATTTATTTGGAGGGTTTTTGTAGGATCATATTCTGAATATAGTCAGATGGGCATTTCAAGAAAAATGAGAGTTAGAGCAACAAAATTTCAGTCAGCATGCAGAGGCTTATGCTTTTGCAGGGTATGAGCAGATTATAGTTTTGGCACATGATGGAGGTTCCAGAGAAGGTTTCTCCTTCAGATACATTTGGATGTAGTTCTCTCACGTCGCTCACTCTCTCCCATGGTAAGTTGCTGCTGTGAGTGATTGTTCCTTAGGCATTAACCAATGCTTATGCTTTCAGGGTTTAGTTAATTATTAGACATGGGTATTCATCTGATCTGACACAGATATAAATTTTGTTTAATCTTTATACTCATTTGAAAGGGTGTTTCAGGGGAAATGAACTCAAGAGTTTGAGTAACATAAGACTAATGTGATTTCTGGTGTAACTAGATTTTAATTTTGTTCATTAAAAGTTTTGCCATACGAAACGAATAGGGAAGCATATGTATTCACAATGAGAGATTTTCCTGGTTAATACTACATTGATTTTAATAATGGTATGTCCTGCTTTCTGTTGAATACAATAGCAATAGATGATTCTCCATTGATTACTTAATCTCCACAGGCAAAAGCTTCTGAAGAAAATAAATTCCAAGGTCAGTGCTCATCTGCAGAGGGTTAAATCATTCATTTTCATCTGTTGTAACATGTCCAGTATGCATTTTTTTTATATGGGTGATGGGGTATTTAAACCGGACTATCTTCTCAAATATTATAAAGCACGAGAATACTAGTGTGGTAGTGCCCTCGTCTCGATTTAACGTTAGGAAAACTAGAGAATCTTCGTTTGTTCAAAGATGAGCCAAAAGAAATGAAGGGAAATGGAGGTGAGAATAATTCATCTGCAAACTCTCTTTGCAGGATCCTGTTATATAGTCTATGAGCATGAAAGAACAATGGAGGTGAGAAACAACTAATCAGGAGCTTCTGAAATTGTACATCGGAGAAGAGAAGGCCCTTCAAAGTGAGCATCTATATACTTGATCAAGTCAAGACTCGCGCCTTCTACTCCATTATTGTGTTCTAATGCTGGCAGTTGCATCGATTTTCCATTAACTCATCTGTTATTCTCACATTTTATAATCTTTTAGCGTCTAAGTTGCTCGGACACTTCTTTTTGGATAAGGGGATATTACCCTCCGAAGACATTCGCAGTGCACCAAGAAAACTTCGAAAAGATTGTACATATCCACGTCTACGTGATCCGATGTTCACATCCAAATCCGAATAACATAGGTTAGCATCAAATGCTTGATTTCACAGATGAGGTGGTTTGGTTCATAAAATCAATGTGGTATTAATTGGGTGAGTATTATAACAGTAAAAATGAAATTCTACTAATCAAAGTAACAACAACTAATTATGTTATTAGTTTTAGCATATTAATAACAGTGTAAAAAGTGAAGGGATAAAATTATATTAAATTAAAATAAATAAATTAAAATACGACTTTTAGAATAATAAAATAGAGCAGCGAATTGTATGGCGAATTTGACGAATAGAAGTCGGTACGATTGTGTGAAGTTCACAAAGCCACCGATGGAGGTGCGTCTCTTGCTGCACGAGGATATGTTTACTTACGCTGCTGTTTAAGTAGTTGTAGGTTCAAGGTTGCAGTTTATTATCATTCTTTACTGGAAAAAAATTAGAATTGTATCATAATAAACTTAATTATTATATTTAAAATAAAAAATTAAGCCTTACAAAAGTTACAAAATAGGAGTAATTGAATACGCCAACTAACCTAATCTAATTTTATAATATTTCAAATATAAAAAAAATTAAATCTCAAATAAATCAAGATCAACAAATTCTTAACATAAAAATATTAGAATTCATATTATTCAAGTTTGAATTAATCCAAAACTGGCCCGCTTGCCACTTAACTTTGTTTGCTATCAACAAAATTATTGTGGTAGGCACCTAAATTTAGTTGTCCTTATTCAATATAATCCCTTCCCGGCATTATTTATTTATTTATTATTATAAATTCATTTTTAATTGTATATATTATTTAATGTATATCGGTAGGTGAAAATAATTTTACAAATAATATTTGCATAAATATCAAATCATTTATTTTGAAAAAAAAGAATTAAACATGTTTAAAGTATACTTAATTACATCTAAAGATTATTTATAAATTATTAGTGTTTTTATAAAAAAAATATTATATTAAATACAAAATCTATATATATTTGTATAAATGGATTTCGAAACATTTCGTAAAAAAAATGTCTTTCGATCTTAAGAAAGACCTCTGAGCCTGGCCGTAGAGGGTTGTTTTCCTTGAGCTTTTTTCCGTCATTCTCGCTGCTATGCTGGTTGGTTTCCAGAACGCGCATTCTCATCTGTAGGATGGCGACAAGAGATAATAGAACAGCATCATTTGGATGTTCAATTACAGACTTTACATATATAATAATAATAATAATAATAATTATACACACATATATATATTTTTTTCAAATTTTTATTTTATTTTCTGGAAATAATTTTATTTTGAAATCCTATAAATTACGTAAACAAGTTTGACAACTGAAAACAAAATATGTTTTGAAAAAATGAAAATAATATAATTCATAAATAAAATATTGGTATACACGATTGATTCTTAAAATACGTATAGTGATGATTTTATAAAATCTTTTTTTCCTTTAAATTCATTTGAGATTAACGGAAATAAAATTTATAAGGCAATTCGGATTTTTTTTTCTATTTATCGTAAATATATCTAATATAAATTTGTTTATTTGTTTTAAGAAAAAGCTCAAGTTTCAACCAAAGTTCGCTGTTTTTAAAGTAGACACAGGAGGAAGGTGAGACTCAGCCACCCTCTATAGCTGTCCTCCGCTTGTACTTCAATTATTTCAAATTTCAAATTTTCAAACTCTATTTTGACTCAAATTATCTACTTTTTGATCACCCAAATATTCGTTCCTCTTGACTGATTGTATTTTAGTATTCGATCCCAGTAATGTCAAATTTAACTTTGCAGAACCAAACAAATATGATGATAATCCCAACACAATTATAAATATAAAATTTTGAAGTATACTTGTTTCATTTCTATACGTACTTCTTTGGTCACAGCTTGAAACTTTTGAACAAACAGGTACAGGTTGTTAAGCTCATTAATGTCGCTAGGTGACATAATCTGTACCGTCTTTTCTTTGATTACATTTATTCGTTGATTTTCGTTTACTGGGTTTCTGCCGATTTCTCAGCTCATCAACTTTCTCGTATACAAATCTCAGGTTAGGTTCTTCTTGGGGTATTTTCCTTCTTTTTCCAGTCTCTAGTTTCTGCCATTTTTAACTGCAATTGTGCTCGTCAGTTCCCGATATTGGAGTTTCTCTCATGGAGAATCCTGGGAATTTTAGATTGATTGTTGAGGCTTTATTTATCTTTTGTTTAGTTAATCTTTCACTAGGATTCAACCCTGTAGATGAATTTTTGCTAGACTGTGGATCCTCCAGAAATAGATCATTAGGTGATCGACAATTTGTCGCCGATAATTCAAACACTTCATCGTATAATCTTTCAACCCCACAGCATATTTTTGCTAATTCTAGTTCAAATCCCATCTCACTTTACTACGATTCATCACTGTATCGAACTGCTAGAATCTTCAATGGACCTTCCGATTACAGCTTTCCAATCAAAGAACAAGGGCGGCACTTGATTCGCCTTCATTTCTTTCCGTTTGTATATGGAAAGTACAACATGAGCAACGCAAAATTCTCTGTTTCAGCACAAAACTTCAGCCTTACTAGAGAACCCCAATCGGGGAATGTTTCAGTTGTCAAGGAATACAGCTTGAACATTACTTCTAATAGACTGGTTCTTAGTTTTATCCCTGATTCAGTGTCATTTGCCTTCATCAATGCCTTGGAAGTTTTCTCGATCCCTGAGAATATCGTTCCCGAAGAAGCCAAAACGATTGGTAGAAAAGACGATAAGAGAAGCCTGAGAGATGTTGCGTTGGAGACGGTTGCGAGGGTGGATATGGGGAACTCAACAGTGCTTCCACAAAATGATACCTTGTGGAGACTATGGGTTTCAGATGATGAATATTTGATAGACAAGAATCTAGGATCATTTGTATCAAATGTCTCGGCTGTTAATTTTACGGGAGGATTGGTGACGGAGGATATTGCTCCAGCTTCTGTATATGGCACTGCCACTCGGTTTAACCTGGATGATCCCAATCTTAATGCAAACCTGACATGGAGCTTCGATGTTGACCCGGGGTTAGATTATCTTGTCCGGCTTCATTTTTGTGATATCGTAAGTAATTCTTCTACTCAGCAAGGTGTCTTTGTTGAAATTTTCATCAATACACATTCAGCAGGTCATCTTGATCTTGGTTCTCAGACATCACACGTTTTAGGTGCCCCATATTTCATGGATGTCTGCACAAGGGCCCATGATAGTCGTAAGCTTAATGTAAGCGTCGGCTCGTCGAATATAATCAACTTCCCTAGTGTCATTCTCAATGGTTTGGAGATCATGAAAATAAATAATGCTGCGGGAGGTTTTGATGCTCCTGAGGTCGTCTCCTCGAGAACTTCCAAGATAGCACTTATAGTTGGTTTGACTGTCGGATTGTTTGTTTTCGTCGTTCTGGCTGCAGTTCTCATCCTTTTCTGCCAAAGAAGAAGAAAGCCAGATCCAGGGAATGGAGGACGAAATGTTCATGTTGCAGGGAATGGAACTGCCATATTTTTTAGCTCGAAAATAGGCTATCGCTTCCCCTTCATGGCACTTGTAGAGGCCACTGATAATTTCAGTGAAAATTTAGTTATTGGGGTTGGTGGTTTTGGTAAGGTTTATAAAGGAGTATTGTGGGATGAAACTGAGGTTGCAGTCAAGAGGGGAACTCCTCAATCAAGTCAAGGTCTCACAGAATTCCGGACCGAGATCGAAATGCTATCGCAGTTTCGGCACCGACATTTGGTATCATTGATCGGTTACTGTGATGAACACAATGAGATGATCATAATTTATGAGTACATGGAGAATGGGACACTCAAGAATCATTTATATGGCTCAAGTCATCCATGCTTGAGTTGGAGACAGAGGCTTGAGATATGCATTGGATCAGCCAAAGGACTTCACTATCTTCATACCGGTTCAACTAATTCAATAATTCACCGTGATGTCAAGTCTGCTAACATACTACTTGACAAGAATTTCATGGCTAAAGTTGCTGATTTTGGTTTATCAAAGACAGGCCCGGATATTGATCGGACGCATGTGAGTACAGCAGTGAAAGGAAGCTTTGGATATCTCGACCCAGAGTACTTGACAACGCAACAACTAACAGAGAAATCAGATGTTTACTCTTTTGGTGTAGTTTTGCTTGAAGTCCTTTGCGGAAGGCCGGTTATTTATCCTTCCCTCCCGAGAGAAAAGGTGAATTTAGTCGACTGGGCATTGAAGTCTCGCAGCAATGGGAGATTGGAAGACATTGTAGACCCTAGGCTTGTTGGTGAAATAAAACCAGAGTCTTTAAACAAGTTTTGGGAGATAACTGAGAAATGCTTGGGGAAACATGGAATTTATAGGCCTTCAATGGGAGATGTCCTATGGAACTTGGAATCAACACTTCAACTACAAAGGAATGAACAAAAAACCGCTCACGATGGTGAGCTTTCTTCTGGAATCAGCTGTGGCGAACACTTGGAAACAAGCTCAGAGTTCATCCTAGCCGGTAGTGTAAGTGAACTCGCCGGCGTTTCAATGACCACTGTATTTGCTCAAATGTTAAGTGAGCAAACGAGGTAGATGAACATTATATGCATAGATTCCACTGAGGGGCTGAATCTCATTTTTCAATAAGCTTTGTCTATGGCAGCAAATTCTTCAGGAACCACTTTTTTTCTACGTAAAATTTTGTGTTCTTTGTTGGGTTTTTCTAATTTGGATTTATCAGCCTTTGCATTGTTCTAAAAATGTCGTGAAAATTCAGTCATCCGATTTTTGCAATTTTTGTCTGTTCACGGACTGTGCTTTACTGTTTTTTTTTTTAAAGATTTCCAAGTCTATTAAATACATACATTCATGCACGTGTAAAAATACATAAAATTAAGTTATTTATCACATACGGAAGCATTTCCTCCGAGCAAAGAAATCCGAGTCGGTGTAATATTTGTCTCAGAAACTAGAGTTCAACGTAAATTTTATTTGCTTCATTGACATAGCCCACACAGGATTTAAAAGATCGCAAAATCATCTTGTCTGAAAGAGACAATGACACTCTACTTAAGATTCTCACAGAACAATTGCGATAATCTGGATGCCAGGCTTCGCTTTACTGCAGGAGAAACTCCATTCTTGCCAATGATGGATTCCAACACTGCATTTCCAAGGTGTTTATTCTCTATCACTGCCTTCCCATTTTCTGGCACTAACCTATCTTTCATAAATCCAATCTGTTTTTTAGAACGATGAATTTGCCCCAAGTTAGGATCCTTTTAATCTCTTTATTTTTGCACCTAAATAAACCTTGTACTCATGGATGGACCTAAAATTTTATGTTAGGGGAGGACGAACTTATACAATTTTAGGGAAAAAAATAAATAATCAATTGAAGATACATAGAAAATATCTAAATTATATGATAATTTGAAATTTTCAAGGACGACTGCCCCCACTAGCCCCTTTCGGTCCATGCATGCCTATACTTCCTTTGTACTAAATAAACCCCTGATCTCTTATTTATTTAAAGGCTTATTTGAGTGCAAGGTTAAGGGTTTTATTCAAGTGTACCAAGAAATGAACCAAAGATTTTGGTTATAATTCTCCTAAATTCGAATGATATGGTATATTTTTTAACATGTCATAACTATGCAAGTAAACAAATATTTAACATGTTTTAATGCCCAAATTGAAGACCAGGCTGACAGGAAGACATACTGCTTGAATTCTATTCATTTAGCAATTCAGGGTAATCAATCATCCGATTATAACGATGAAAAAAGCAATGAATGTTTTTGGACTTACAGTTAGGGAACCACGGGTTGATATTGTGAAAAGAATGGAGGAGCCAGGCAGGAAGGTTTCATACTTGAAGGCCGCCATGATTTTTTCGACGGCTTTTGTTTCTGCATCAGTGTAGGTTCCATGAGATCTCAAGATGGCAACGCACTGCTCAGCTGCTTTCTCAGAGTACTGTTGACCCGTTATTGGCATGATCGTTGTTACATGTACGAACTTCTCAAAGTCACCTACACATACAAATTGCAAACGCATACCAAAAACATTAGGATTGACGACGATATGGATGGCAATGAGGCAATATAAAATCCGCCAAAAACATATAATTCTTCGTGGACCTGCTTTAGAAAAATGAACAATGGCAATATAGTTCATATATCCCTCGCATGTTGATTAATTCTCAGCTCAATGTCAGAATCGTAGGTTTCCTTTCCCTCACATTTTTACGAAAATAATTGTTCAATCTTTTATCACTAGTAACTGTTCATCAAAACTCTATTTTACATTTCCCAACCGAAACAAACAAACAAAATCATGGAAATTACCTGTAATGATGTCTCTAAAAAACTCAACGGAATCTGCCAAGTCCGCGGCGTTCTTACCCTTCCACATATCAGCAAGGCAATCCACGGCCTTATCTTCCAAATACACTCCGATCGCGGTGATCTTTATGAATGTCCCATGGATATCCAATCCTCTATCCCCTGGCGAACGTTACCACTGACACGTTAACATAAGAAGGGAAAAAAAAGAAGATCGAACGGATTTCGAAACAGAATGCGGGGAACACTAACCTGCGCCGCCGAGGAAAAGAGTGTTGGTGGAACCCGGAGGCTTCACCTTTGGGGGGAAGTTAACGTTCTGTACTTCCAGTTCGGTGATGGACGCTGACGTAGACATTGTGCGGCAGTTCATTAAATTCTATTCTTCTCCTTTTAGTTTATGGTTTGAGGGGTTGTAATTGGGAGTGAAACGGTCAGCTTTATATAGCTAATGGGGAAATGAAGGATAGGCAGGGGAATAGGAGCCGAGGGTTCGTAGATATGCACCAGGGTGTTAATGTGCAAGCTCAACTTTTTACAAGGCTAAATTTACTTTTTTTAAATGATATAATCTGGTATTTAATTTTTATCAGTGCAATTATTTTTTTAAAAATTATTTTAGTGTAAATTATATTTCAAATTATTCAGTTATAATATTTAAGTTCTAAACGGAACATGCTTTTATAAAATTTATAATATGATCTTTTAATTAAAATATTATTATAAATAAATTATTGGGTCATTAGATAAAATAATTAAATGACTTGGTATAATATCAATTTTAATCCTTAAATTTTTTTACATCCTATCAATTTAACCATAATTCGATTAATCAATGCGGTCACCACAGTGATATATATTATTTTTCAAAATATAAAAATATGTTATAACTTATAATGAAATATTATACTTCGACAAAGTTAGAAACTTTATTGTAAATTAAAAAGAAAACCCAAAAAAAAGAGTCAAATGTTGCTGATAATTGTGGTTAATCAAACCCTAACAATGCTAATATTTCTTCTCGAGTGAAATAATGTAATTTTATAAGACTCGAGATCATACATATATAGACATACCACATGAGATGTAAAACATGTGTTTCCTTTCACTTTTCAAGCCCATAATGTATGCATTGCAACAAACTTTAGAAAGTGAGTGGAGCAACCAATAATAATGCAATGGAAAGTGAATGAAATACATTGGCTGGAAGGATGGTTTTATAAGATATATATTGGAATGGATATGTGTCGAGTTAAGTTGGGTTTGCAGTTGATTTTAATTTGATTCAAGTATTTTATCATTTTATCCATCATGTGGTCCGATTTAAGTATTTTATCACTCTATTTGTCATCCTGCTTGATCCGAGCTTAGGGAGGCTCCACCTGATCTGATATCTGACTTGATTTTTGGATAAAAACTCGCATCTGACCTTATATATATATACACACATATTAGACTAAGTCGATAATTTTTTACCTTAAACCTGAATCTAACTTGATCATATTTTTTCAAAAATTCAACCTGGTCCGACATAAATCCAAATTTTTATAAAGAATCAGTCTTATAGGGTTGAGTTAGATCAAAATCATTCGGGTCTAAATCTCAAACTTATCCCTAGATATATATAGTATTCAATTTAAATTATTAGTTTTTTTTATTAAGGTGATTACAAAGTAGTATATGTTTTAAATACTCTCAAACATTCGACAATGAACATTCAATCACCCTGCTGCAGTCGTTGATGCTCGAACTTGTGACATCTAGAAACAACAATTCTTTTAACAACTGAAGTTAGTTGGTTCGTATAATTTAAATTATTAAATGAAATATCAATAATTATATAAAAAAAAATCTTGAATAGATAACTATATAAAAATATTAATCTCATAGAAGTATAATAATAACCCTTTACGCATCTAATTATCCAAATCATGCAAAATGTATGCATTACAACAAACTTTAAAATAATCTAAAAAGCGAGAACAACATGGATTCCAATGAAATGTTGAAAATTTGTTTCCGTATTTGACAACTGCAGATTTTTCCCACAAAGTTCAGATTAAATGTTGATAATTTGCAAATTGAAAAATGAAACTTGGTGCAAACCAAGGTGTAAACTTCACCTGATGGGATGAAATCTAATGGCAGAGAGGGCTAAAGAAAAGAAAATTCCAAACAAATTTATTACAACCTAATCAACTGACAAATGAGGACCACCCACACATGAATTGTATGGTTTAAATTATTTCCATGTGTTTGGTAAGGATGAGGCTATCTTCAAAGTTCTGATATTTTATGCTCGAGTCTCACAATTGTTTAAATTTAATTTTATGTTAATTCAAGTCTTCTTGTTCATTTATGAGGTTTGTCTAAATTCATTTTAATTATTTGTTGTAATTATAATGTGACTTGCGTAACCTTGAGTGAAAATTTCTATGAGGATTCATTGGGAAATTCTCGAGACATTTTGGGATTTGGGTAATCTTAGTTTTTCACTTTTAATTTAGTCTAATAGTTGAGCAAGCGTCACTTTTCTTGCCTCTGTGTTTCACTGTGTTATTATTGCTCACTTTCGTTGTCTTTTGTGTTGTCCTTGTTCTGTTTGTCTCGAAGTTCCATACATTCGTATCAAACCCCATTTTCCAGGATTTCCGAAAGGTTCATCTTCGAAATTTTCATGTATTTCTGAATCTGGGCTTTGCGTGTTTGTGTAATATCTTAATTTCTCCATCCATGGCCGAGTCGAGGTTCATCGTTTTAGCCTTTCTGCTCTTAACTTGCTCCACGTGTTTTTCTTCTTCCTCCTCCTCTGGGGATCAACACTCCGATAAAATCACTGAGTTGCCCGGACAACCGAGTAATGTCGACTTCAATCAGTACTCAGGGTATGTGACAGTCAACGAAGACGCTGGAAGGGCATTATTTTACTGGTTGACTGAGTCACCACTGAACCGTACACCAGAAACAAGACCACTCGTTTTATGGCTCAATGGAGGGCCTGGTTGCTCTTCAGTTGCTTATGGAGCAGCCGAAGAGATTGGTCCTTTTCGTATTAGACCAGATGGAAAGACACTTTACTTCAATCCTTATGCTTGGAACAAGTGTAAGTCTTCATTTTTCGTTTTGTCTTCTGTTTGTGTTTTTGTCTGAATTTCATCTAAGATTTGTTTCATTTCAATTGTTTGTTTTCAGTGGCAAATATACTATTCCTTGAGTCTCCAGCTGGTGTTGGTTTCTCATACACAAATACAACATCAGATTTATACAACTGTGGTGATAAGAGAACTGGTAATTTATTGTGTTTGTTCATCATCTTTATGTCAATTTTGTTACTTTAGATTGTAAGAGAGTTGGTTTTGACATCTTTAGATGTTTTTGGGGTCTGGGTGTTGTAAATTCGCAGCTGAAGATGCATATGCTTTTCTGGTTAATTGGCTTGAAAGGTTTCCACAGTATAAGCATAGGGATTTCTACATTGCTGGAGAAAGTTATGCAGGTTTCACTTTGATCCCGGTTCGCTGTTCCGTTTGTGATATTTCGCATGATTCGACGATGATTTATGTTTATTTTCAGGTCATTATGTTCCTCAATTGGCTCAACTTGTTTATGAAAGAAACAAAGGGATTCAGAATCCTGATCTCAATTTCAAAGGACTTATGGTAAGAATATTAGTTGTTGGAGTTTCAGTTCTTGCTGGTAATCAACTCTTGTTTTCTGGGAAAATGACTTATCATTGGATCATATAGGTTGGAAATGCAGTTATTGATGACTTCCATGATTTTGTTGGTACATTCGAGTACTGGTGGACTCATGGTTTAATATCCGATTCGACCTATCGCAATTTGCAATCCGCATGTGACCTGGGATCAGCTTCACATCCCTCATCGGATTGCGCTGCAGCTCTCGAAGTTGCAGAAAAGGAGCAAGGAAACATCGATCCGTATAGCATCTACACGCCACCCTGCAAGGATACCGCAACGTTGAGACACAACTTCAGGGGTCACTATGTAAGTTTCCATCGCCCTTTGTCTGTCATCTAGGACCAGACATATTTCTGCATATAGTCCAAATGTATTACAATATTATCTTCACATTCTATCTTGTTTCTTCTCTAGTTTCTGTCAATAGTATGGCTTTAAATCATGATATTTATATACATACATAATTCATGAACCTAACTTGTTATGCACGTCGTCTTCAAAACATTGAGTTTCGATTCATCAAGTTCTTTTCTTTTCCACTGCACTAAAATTTGTTTCTACATGCAGCCGTGGATCTTAAGAGCTTACGATCCATGCACCGAGCAGTATACGAAAGTGTACTTTAATCGCCCCGAAGTTCAGAAGGCTCTTCATGCAAATGTAACCGGTATTCCTTATCAATGGGAAACTTGCAGGTGGGTGATTGATGGTGATTTCTTTTCAATTCGGTATACGTTATTTATGATAATGTTCGTTTTACAGCGACATCGTATATGATAACTGGACGGATTCGCCTCTCTCTATGCTTCCTATATACCAAGAACTAATTTCCGGTGGTATTCGGATATGGGTTTTCAGGTAAGTTGCTCTTCTTTTTCCTTGTTTTTTCATTGGATTTTGTTTTGTCCGCAGTCCAAGTAAGGTAGGTTAACCTAAGTACGGAGAGCTTTGATTGAACTCTTTTTCTGCAGTGGAGACACTGATTCAGTGGTTCCGGTGACAGCCACTCGATACTCCATCGGTGCACTGAAACTACCAACCATTAACAAGTGGCATCCCTGGTATGACAATGGCAAGGTAAGTTCTGATAAACCCACACACTCTTTCATATATATATATATATATATATATATATATATATATATATATGCGTGTGTTGATCTGATCAGAGTTGCTTATTTTTGTGAATAAAGGTTGGTGGGTGGAGCCAAGAATACGAAGGGCTGACATTAGTGTCGGTAACTGGAGCCGGTCATGAGGTTCCACTCCACCGCCCTCGTCAAGGTTTCATTCTTTTCCGATCTTTCTTGGAAGACAAGCCAATGCCGACATACTCGTATTCATATCTGTTGCCCGCAATTGATAAGTGAAATAAATTAGACTTCATAAATCGGGTTAGGAAAACTAAATAAAAAATTAAGCAGTCCGATTAGACTCTTTGGAGTCAAGCCTAAATATTGCTACTTGCCTCAATCTATTTTTCATGTAAGGGTAAACTTTTTTAACTTGAAACTTCATGTGCATGATCTACAAGAATAAAGCATAAAATAAAATTGTGGGATGAAACAAATATGAATTATATAAAATAATTGCAACTATTCAGTCTTTACATAAATACAAGTAGATCACATCTTGTGCGTATGGTGCAAGAACCAAGATGAATCATTGAGCGGAAAATGCAACAAAATGAAATTCACAATTTACAGTAGAATATATGACCAAATGGTGAGCTAGAGATTGCATATAAACTCTATAGTTGCAGAGGATGATGATGGAGTTTCTAACTTGTGCAATCAAACAGTGTCGGTTCCGTTCACATGCGAATCTTCTGATTTCTTTACAGCAGCAGCAATTCTCTCCTCCAATGCTCTGGCCCCCTTTTCTCTGCAAATGTTCATGAAAAAGTTTCTTTTCATATATATTGTATTCAAGATTCGTTTGATACTCATTACCATGGGGATAAAGTGCCATTGAACTTTCCAACGACGTATATGGCAGAATTAACATAAATGCGTACCTTCTTCTTGATGCCTCAGTGGGGTCAGAATCGAGAAACAGTGAACCCTCAGAGGTATAACCCTGAACATCATCTATGGGAGCTTCAGGTTTTCCACAAAGCATTAGGTGGAACTTCCATGCAATGGGATCGATAATCGGTCTGTACCGAATCATATGGAAACGCTTGTGAGCTTAAAGTATCGTATCATTTCACAAGCTAAAAACGAAAGGCAGATAACTCCTAAGAAATTGAGGGAAGAATGTGGAGAATGCAAAATCTTCATTTGGATCACCCACATGCTTTGCTTCTGGTTTTTATCTGCAGGTACCTGAGGTAAATCCAGCCCATGTATGTTCCGAATATCAAAGTCAGAAGATATGTAGTTGGCTCTGGAGTGAAGTAACTTATGGCAATGGGTCAGAAACGTCTTTCGGTTGGGTCCGGAATTGGGCTTCGACTTAAAATGAGTGGATTAGAGTCACTACCTATCATTTTAAAAACATTTAGGTAGATCGGACATCATCTTACTTAATCTGCAGTTTACTAGAAATGTGTCGGGTTTGGAAGTCGGTTACGGTCAAGGAAGGATTAGCACCCTTAAACCGTCCTTTCGGTACCAATTAATTTATCGGTTGTCTTTAATTACGAAAATGTTAGATGGTAAATAAAAGAAATCTAGTAAAAATTAATTAAATAATAAAAAAAATTAAAAAATGATGTTAAATTTTAAAAGAAACAAATGTTGAAAGAAAGACAACAAAAGGAGAAAATATTAAATTTAAGAGGAAAAAATAATAATAATAAAATAAAATAATAGAAATAATAATACTAATGGTTAGAACCTAACTAAATGGAGGCCACGTCCTTTCAAACCATGAGAGGCATCAATACAATTCAACCACATTCAACAAGTTTAGAGATTAAAGGGCAATAAGCCATATATTACACGGAAACATAACTTAAATTAAAGCTAATTACGAGAGCAAATTAAATTTATTCTAAACATGAAGGAATTAACACATTGTTTCCAAAGATCAATAAAACACGTGTGTCCTTTAAACGTGTAAATGTTGTCAAAACAACCAAAGTGAACGTACCAACAATGTAGGGTAGGCGTGGAATTTTACATCTCATTACTAACTCATCTATAGCACCGGTTTTGAGGGCAAGGAAAAGTTGGCACACGATTCAAGGAGAGATTTGACGATACCATATCATGTCATCATTGTCCGTTCTGTTTTGAAAATAAGATTAGATCGGTCGGTTCAATCAGGAACCGTTGTTTAGTTCGGTTTAATCTAAATCGGTTAAATCGTTATTAATGAATCGGTCAGAATCATTGAACCGTTTGAACCAGACCGACTGAAAACCGAAAAAAATCGGGAAAAACCCAGGATTTTTGTTTTTTTTTAAAAAAAAATTAAACCAAATAACGTCGTTTGTTAAACGAGCCAAGTCGATCTCAAGTATTGCTGAACTCGAATCAAACTTGAAAACTTTAAAAGTAAGTTCAACTCAACTCAAACTCACAAGCTAAAAATTATCAAGTTAATTTAAACTTGAAATATAATATTGAAACTTAAACTCAAAAAGACTTGAACTCAAAAAAAATTAGAAGCTCGATTGAAGCTTAAAATTCGAGCTTGATTGAAGTGAAAGAATAGTTCACTCAATGCTCACCAAAAGGCTCCATGATTTTGAATGCCAAATTACCTCTATTATTTATATAAGTTAACTGTGATGCGCTTCTATGTTTTTTTAGCAATATAAGATTGTTTTGTTTTCATATTTTTACTATTTAGACTTTTAGATGCTCTTCTATGTTTCTTAAACATGTGAGATTATTTTTAAAAAAAATTAAATCAAACAATATCATTTTGTTATGATTTTTTTAATCCCAAATTTATTTTTTAATTATAGTTATATAATTATATTTATTATTTAATATGTTTTACCTTAAATATTATGTTATAGTTAATTTGAATCATTTTGTTTCACTTGATTTTATGGTTTTTAACTTATATATGTTATGACTTGCTTTAAATATGACTTGTGATTATTTTTTATTAAATATTTTTGATATTTTTGTTTAATTTTTTAAATAATTATGACTTCGTCCGATTATTTCGACCGGTTGAACAAGTAAACTGATAACATGACATGTTCGTTAACCGATCCGATTCGCTAGTCGATCCAAAACCATTGTCCGTAAAAGACAAGTTAAATTTTCAATTGGATTTGCGAGGTTTCAAAGACAGTATTTTGTGCTAAAAAAAAAGATTAGACCACCCCACAATAGGAAATTTGTCGAAAACAAACCAGTAAACAAATCGGAAGTTGGAATGCCGCTAGACAACTGAAGATGGGCCTCGAACCAGAACGAAACCGCATGGAGCAAGCCGGGACTTGCTTCTGACGCAAAGGGAGAAGATATGCAAAGGTTTTTTTTAGGTGCCTCTCCTAGCTTGAACGATCACGTCTTTGCCTTCTTCAAACCTAGATATCCTCTACCGGACGCTAGCTTGCACGGAGTTTAAAGGTTTGTTCGCCGTTTTAGTGCTTTGATTCTTTTTTCGCAAACTTCTCTTCTCACGTTCAGATATTTTGATTTTTTCAGGATTCCTTTCCCCCTCGGTTTTGTATGATTCTCCCCCCGAACAATCTTGTGTATCTCTTTTTTTCGATATATTTTTTTCTGGTTCGAATGCTCCTGTTCGGATGATTTTTCACCCCTCTGTTATTTGCTTTTGCTTTTACGGAATGCTTCCTCCTTCCCCTTGTTGGACATTGCTTATGATTTATATAAGCACATATATAGACGTTGGAAGGTTGCATCTGCCAGATATTCAGGGATTCTAGCCGGATTCTCGAGGGTGGTTGAAATGGTTGAGATACGTGAGGGAGAGGTGAGCGAAGAGAGCTAAGATTGCGCCGGAATTTTCGAGGCTGCCATTGATCTGAAGTTTGACGTGAAACTAGCCTCAGTTTTGCGCCAATCGCGTGAGGCAGGTTCTGGTGCTATATAGTGTAATATCATATGTACTGTATAAAAATATGTACTATACGATAAAACTATAAATATATGTGATATATTTGCTATATATAGATATATTTATAAATATGTACGAAAAATATATGTCTACACAATGGAAAACAACAGCAAAAGTGATGGAAGCCACTTCATAGCATTTCATCATAAAGTGTGTGAAGGTCAAATTCCGATCTAGGCAAAATAAAATCTATCCCGATATCGATACTCAAGGTTAGTGCAGATATCGAGAGGTCTAGTATCAATACTATCGTACATTTTTTTGGGTATTAATCCCAAGGCATTTTAAGATATAATGAGGTTTTCTAATAACTCGATAATTACTATTAATAAAACTATAAGTGAGAAGAAGTTAATAATCAAACACACAAGAAATGAGATCAATTAGGGAAACATAACACTAGCATTGATTGATGCTCGGGAAACGACGAGATACCCGAGTTTCTTTTGTAAAGATATTGGTGTCAAGATATAATATTGTCTAGATATACTTAGGTAGTGCGCAAGGCACTTTAAGCTGACTAACTAGTGGAGGTCCAACACTCGTGAGGGATGAATTAGTTGAGGGTGTTATATTCGATTTAGAGATTTTGGGTCTTATCCTCAGTAGACTAGAGGGGTTTATGAGCTCCGAGATGTAGAACCCACAGTCGTACCATGATATCTACTCTAAAATAGAGAGTAAAGTATAAGAGTCTACTCACTGTTGCATTACACTGCATATCATGAGCATTTAAGGAACACTTTTAATATGGTTTAGTTGTTAGTGTTGCACTAGGCTAGAGAGCTCAACATTCAGAATTTGTTTTCGTACAAGTATTTAGAAAGAGCCTTTTGAGCAGTAGCTTTCCAGACCGAGTGTGAAGCGAAGTACATCTCAAGTTTACTCTCTTTTGTGGGCATGTATCATTTGTAGACCCTTTTATATATGAGAAAATCGTCTCAGTGACCAAAAATGCCTTATAATATACGATTTTAACCAACTTTTTTTGGATTTGCCAAAATGACCAACAAAATCGCAACGCGAAATAAAAATCGCAACGCGATCCCCAGAATCGCAAATCAGTTTCCAAAATCGCAATGCGATTCTTGAAAATCGCAATGCGATAGTACAAATTCGCATTGCGATTTTCCAGAATCGCAACGCGAACACATAAATCGCAACGCGTATCCGTAAATCGCAACGTGTATCTGTAAATCGCAACGCGTATCCGTAAATCGCAATGCATATCCGTATATCGCAACGCGTATCCGTAAATCGCAACGACAATACGTAAAATCGCAACGCGATTTTTAAAGCGCCATTATAATCGCTACGCGTATTTTATTTTCAAATTACAAAAACGAATATTAAGACAAAATCCCGTAATCGCAACTCATAAACCTAAAACCTAAAATCACAACTCAGTCCCATCTCCATCTCTCACTCTCTACGGCGAAATCCGTCCCCATCTCCGAAGATTTCCGTCCCCATCTCCGGCGAAATCCCTCACAACCATTCACGGTCAGAAATCCCTCACAATATTCAGAAATGGAAAACCAACCTCCGAGGGTTAGTTTTTTTAATTATTTTTATTTTGAAATTTTTGCATTATTGTAGGTTTTTCATATTGAAACTGATGATAAGTTTACTGGTCATTTCAATAATAGATTAACCATTTCACTTAGATTTCATTTCGCGTTACGATTCTCTCGTTGCGATTTTCATTTCGCGTTGCTATTCTCTCGTTGCGATTTTCAAGTTAGTATTTGTGTTTGTCTTTGTTCTGTCTTTTGGTTGAAGTAATGCAATCCATTCAAGTTTCAATTTGCAGAAGAGTCGCAACGAGAGAAATGAAAATCGCAACGTGAAAATGACTATCTGCAACGAGAGAAATGAAAATCGCAACGAGAGAATCGCAACGCGAAATGAAAATCACAACGAGAGAATCGCAACGCGAAACCAAAATCGCATTGCGATTTTCATTTCGCGTTGCGATTCTCTCGTTGCGATTTTCATTTCTCTCGTTGCGACAGTCATTCTCTCGTTGCGATTTTCATTTCAACCAAAAAACAAAACAGTGTTGCAAATTTTAGTTTCAAGAATAAACTACTACTTTTTATGTTTATTGTTTTTGATATATCTTCACAGTGTAGTTTTTGGTATATCTAACTTGGTATGTTTATTGTTTTTGTAGAATTTTTTTTCGGCTTCATTGACATTAAGGAATAAAGTTAGCCTAGCCACTACAATTGCTTCGAAGCTTTCACCTGCACAAAGACAATTGTTTGAGGAAACCTGCTTCGGGCCATGGCTGAGAGTACAGCATCCGGGTGGAGATGCTAATTTGACCCATTTGTGGCTTCAGACCATGACATCAAATCTAC